CGTCAACCTGATGAGGACCCCATGGACCAGGCCGGTCACGGAACGCACGTCGCCGGTATCATTGCCGGCAAGAGCTCCGAGTATGTGACGACGTCTCAAGACTAGCTTGGTCAGGGAAAAGAAAGCCTTAGCTAAACGTGTCGAATAGGTTCACCGGAGTTGCCCCTGAAGCCACAATCTACTCCTACAAGGTCTTCGGCCCTAATGTGAGTTGCTCAGTCTGGTCCCCCCCGCCCCTTGGAGACATGCTGACATCAATTCTCAGGAGGGCACAGCCGAGGAAGTCCTAATCGAAGCTTTCCTGCGCGCCTACGACGACGGCGTCGACATCATCACCGCCTCTGTCGGCTCCACCGGCGGCTGGTCCGACAACGCCTGGGCCCTCGTGGCCTCCCGCATCGTCGAGCAGGGCGTCGTCGTCACCATCGCCGCTGGTAACTCGGGCGACGTGGGACCCTTCTTCCCCAGCAGCGGCGCCGCCGGCAAAGACGTGCTCGCCATCGGCTCCGCCGACGCCTCCATCGTCTCGGCCCGCCAGTTCGCCGGCACCTTCACGCTCGACGGCCAGTCCAACCGCACCATCCTCGGCTACCGTCCCGCCGAGGAGCTCTTCCCCGCCGAGATCGTCGGCTGGCCCATCGTCCCCGTCACGCTCAACATCAGCGTCGAGAACGACGCCTGCTCGCCGCTCCCCGAGGGTCTCAACTTCACAAACACCATCCCGCTCGTGCGCTTCGACGAGGGGTGCCAGGATTACATCCGCCAGCGATGGGTCCAGGAGCGCGGCGCGCGCTTCATGCTCTTCTACCTTACCGACCGGCCCGTCGTCGGCTTCTCGGGCTCCGGCTGGGCGCAGAGCAAATGGGGCCTACTGTCCAAGGACGCGGGCGAGGCCATTGTCAAGACGGTCATCGCCGGCGGCAGCGTCACGGCCGACTTCTCGCTCGACCAAAACAGCAACTACGTCGCCATGTACAACGCCGGCGGCGGGAAGCCGTCGCAGTTCACCTCGTGGGGCGGTACCTTTGACCTCGAGCTCAAGCCCGATGTCACGGCGCCGGGCGGGCGCATCTTTGCTCCGTTCATCGGCCACCGCTACCGCGACCTGTCGGGAACGTCCATGGCCTGCCCGTACGTCGCTGGCGTAGCGGCGCTATATATCGGCGCGCGCGGCGGGCGCTCCGTACACGGCGCGGGCTTTGCTAAAGCGCTGCACGCGCGCATCGTCGCCTCCGGCCGCGCGATCCCGTGGTCCGACGGCACGACGAAGGATTTCGGGTTCTGGGCCCCGCCGATCCAGGTCGGTAGCGGGTTGATCGACGCCGTCTCAGTGTTGAACGCCACGTCGCAGTTGTCTGGGGAGACCAAATTTGCGTTGAACGACACGCATCATTTCTCGCGGTACCATCAGGTCGATGTGACGAATACCGGCCCCACGGAGCTCGAGTATATCTTTACGGTGCAGAATGCCGCTGGATTCGAGGCGTATTGGACTGCTGAGGCTGCTGATGCGGGGATTTCTGCTGTGCCGCGCATCAAAGATCTTGTTGAGATTGAGCCGGCCAAGATTGGGGCTGTTGTCAGCTTGCCGGCGGGCGGGTTCAAGGTTGGGCCTGGGCAGACCAAGACTGCGAAGTGAGTACTCTCCTGATTCCGTTGTGATATTTTGATGACTGGCCCGAAGGATTCTCTGGGCGGTGGCTTCATGGGAACCGCAATGATGGCAGACGGCTAACACTAAGACTTCAGGTTCTCCTTTGACATTCCTCAAGGTCTCAACGCTTCGAGACTTCCCGTCTTCAGCGGCAAGATTCTCATTGGATCGAGCGCCGGCGATGTGCTCTCGGTGCCCTACTATGGTAGGCCTTGGTCGCCTCTTCGCGTGAAGCTTTTACTAACAAATTCCCCAAAGGTGTCGGCGGCAGCATCAAGCATGACATTGCTGACATGTTTTACACCTCCTACGGATACCCTCGTGTCTCGTCTGGTGTTAACCGGACCGCTCTCTCTGAGAAGTCTAGGTACGGTTTCCAAGTATACAAGTGAAGGGAGACAACAGACTTACACCCATCAACAGCTTCACCTTTGACCTCTCCCTCGCCAAGCAAGACTTTGTCAGGCTCCAAGTCGCTCTGACCTGGGGCTCTCGCCAGGTTCGCTGGGATGTAAGCAATTACTCTTTCTCCTCTCAAAGAACCGAGGAATACTAATTCCTGTCTTCTCTGCAGGTCTACGAACCCACCTACCAAGAGCGTGAGTGGGTATACCCTCCCGTCGTCGGCGAGAACAAGTACGTCGGCTCCGTCGCCAGCTTCGACGTCTACAACAGCGTCAACTACCCCGTCTTCGATCCGGCCACCGACAGCGTGAACAACACCTTCTCGTACCCTCTCCAGGACCAGTCTCGTGATTCGCCCTACGAGTCGTGGTGGCTTGGCAAGCTGGCGGATGGAAGCCAGATTAAGCCTGGAAAGTACAAGTCAGTCATCCCTCACCTGGATTTCATACCATCTATGTGGCCACGTAGACTAACACCCACGAACTAGATGGCGTATCGCGGCTTTGAAGGCCTTTGGTAACCCCAAGGCGTCGGATAACTGGGAGATTTTCGAGACGCCTGTGATTGAGGTCCTTCCGCTTGCCGGAAGCAATGGCACCGCTTTCCGGCGTTGAAAACTCTAGTACGATCTAATGTAATATCGCTCTCCAACCCCTGTAAATTCACGGTAAATCCAAACCACTTTTTCGTGCGTCCCAAGTGCTCCAAATGTAGTCCCATCAGCCTGCAAGTGTATCATCAATCCATCGCAACCAACTCATCACCAGCCGCACTTGGCTTGCCCGCATCAACGTCCTTACCTATCTCCTTACCAAAGATACTCTTCTCGTCAAAGAAATTTACCTCCTGCTCGAGGGCAGCCTTTGCGAGCCGGTCCGCCTCCTTATTCTCCTTCTTCGGCACCTGCCAAAACTCCACCGCCACGCCCGCCTGGCCCAGCGACATCATGGTGAGCATCAGATTATCCCACAGATCTTCGTTCTTGACCTTTTCGCCCTTTGTGTTCTTCCACCCGTTGGCGAGCCACTTCTTCATGTGCGGCGGCTCGCCGTTCCTGCCGCCCGCGACACCCTCGACGAGATACGCCGAGTCGCTCTTGACGACGACGTGGTGCAACTTGAATGACGGCTGTGACCGCCGCGACAGCGACCGCATGGTGGGCAGTCCCTTGGTGGCAATCGTCGTCGCCTCCATCAAGCCCACAATGGCGGCGTAGAGGTCCGCGCGCTGCTGCGTGTGCTGCGGGCGGTCGCGGCCGTCGCTGCCGTCCGTGTCCTTCATGACGTGGCCCCGGTCTTTGGCGTCGGGGATGCGGCAGGCGCGGTTGAGCGGGTTGCCGGGGCCGAGGTGGACGCCGACGGCGGACTTGGTGGGCGGTTGATCGGGACTGTTCTGGGGCGGGCAGACGCCGTGGACGGCGATGACGAGGGAGTCAGTGTGGTGGGAGAGAGCCGCCGCGGGCTTGTCGTCGTCGTCTCCGAATTGGATGGTGCGGACCGTGATGTTGGTGTTGGCGAGGGTGGTCCGGGTGAGGGCGTTGTGGCAGCGTACGTGGACGAGGTTGAGGGGCCCGTGGGAGCCGGGGAGCTCTAGGTCGGTTGGGTTCTCGCCGTAGAGATCTGTGTGGTCGTGGGGGAAGCGGCGGACGACGTAGCCGTCCGAGTTTGGCTCGACGAGGAGGCCGACAGGGTGGTTGGCGTGAGGGTCGTGACGAACCATTTTGGCGGGGTCGTGAATGGCGGTGAATTCGTGTCGTGAACGAGGTTAGGGATCTCTGTCGGCGAGGTTGATGATCCGTCTTGAATGTTTGAGCGGTCCACAGTTATGAGATAATAAAAGTGACAGGTGAGAAGGATGAGATGGATGAGAATGAGAGTGGCAAGCGTGAGAATGGAGTGAAGTGGAGATGCAGCGTTCCATCAAAACTGCACTGCCGTTCCCACTTTTCCCCGGTCCGCTTTCTTCTGTCTCTCGACTAACTGTCAGACTAATGAAATGTCCAGTGTTACCAGAATCAGATATTCGATGGGCTGTGAATCATTCTCGAGTTTCCCAAGTATGTAGTCGGATTATCGCCCGTATTCCACTTTGCCTGAGGTGGAAGATGAGAAGACGGCACCGGAGAGGTCTTGCCGGACCCGGCAGACAGATAGTGGGTCCCGGATGCCGACCGGGCCCGCTTTCACGCCGAGTTGCACAATGCTTCGTTCACAGGTCCAGGACCACGAGTGCCTTGACAGGACGGCGAATATGTAGAAATAGCGCACGCCTCCACTTGTCAAGTTAGATCTGGCTGCAATGGCTCACGTTTGACAGCCCCCAAACCTACCAAGTATATCGTGACCTTCCATCACCAAATGCAGGCGTTTGATGGATGCTCATCAGTATTCAGGACTCGCTTTACGATCTCGATTCAGGGAGAAATGCGCGACCAAATTAGAATGTCCACTTCTCACGCCGAATTAAAAGGCTAATGTATTAATGTAGTCATGAGTATATGCATCTTTTCATGTGAAAGGGGGATGGGATCTCGGCCATGCCCAGTGATTCTGGAGTTTTTAATAATGCTTGATTGCTGACACTACTTCTATGCGCACCTAGTTTCCCCACGCTGTACCATAAACCATGCTTTCTCATACTCGTTGAAGTCAAAATTACTCAGGACTTCCTTCGATTGCCCAGCAAGACCGACGTGCCCGTAACGATGTTCAATCTTCTAGTGACGTCTTCGAGGGAAGCGGAAAACTTTGCCCACACCCTTGCCCTCTGCCTCGGTGCGTTCAAAGACATTCGATCTTCAAACACTCTATAAGACCATCACTGTTTGCGCAATTCGGGTAGTAGCTGGGATCGGTTTCGGGTTCTTGGTAGGCATCAAGATAAAGCTCATGGTTGAGACAGCAAGTCCTGCCCGGCTCGGCCTTGTCGACGAAGCCGATGATCAAAGTACCTGCTCTTCCAACTTCTTGATCACGGCTCTGGCCTCCTCAAGCTCGGTCTTGATACGTTCGTGCTCTTCCCTCAGCTGGCCGAGTTCGTTGGCGAGGTTGATCCTCGCCGCGCTCTCCCTCTTCCACCATTCTCTGGCGATAGCAGGCCGACACTGGCGATTTTCCATCCGCTTCTGAAAGAGCAAGAAGTCGAGCTCCAGTCTGTCGTGCCTGCGTCTGAGCTCTGCGGTCTCGGCGTTCACTCTGCCCGGGGTTTCTGCGCGCCGAAGGCCTTCCGCGGCGCTAGGTGCCTGTGCGCCGGAGGAGTTGCGGACGGCAGTGCTCTCGCCTCCTGTGAAGGAGCGCATCAGTGTTTCGAATTTTGACTGCGATGTTTTGATGGAGTCCAAGACTTGAGGGGCGGTCTGGAATGGCTGAAATGGCTGCGGCTGCGGCTGCGGCTTTGCGGTAGACATGGCACCTTGGCTGGAGGACGCGGTTTATGCTTCTGCAGTTGGCGGAGGATGGAATGTAGCTCGATTTGCAAAGAGGTGTTCTGGACCTCTACTAGTCCAGTGGGAGTCTTAAGTACCCAACCCGAAGGTATGGGTCGAGTGCCCACTCTTCCTCGACGGCGAAATATGATATTGAGATCCATCTTGGTGTCGCTGGATGACGACTGGCTGCATTGAACGTTGGAGAACAAAAATTCCAAGGGGCATTGTCGATATTATAACGATATATAAAGCCAGGTCTCGTCGATGTTGTGAATCCAAATGCTCATAAGAGACTCGTCCACTACATTCCGGGAGATGGAAGCAAGAAACCCGGACCCCTTTGAGGAGTGCATTCAGAACTTTAGGATGACTAGCCTTCAAACAAAGAAACGCTACATTCTAAGAGCTATGCATGGTTACAAAACAAAAGAAATCCTAAATCTTACCTTGGACGGATTTCAATCCCCTTGGTGTCTTGGAGCATCAGCCTTTGACGTATACAGAGCATGACAGAAGCCACCGTTCCGTAGATATGGACGAGTTTAGAAGCGGAGACAAATGGAACTCTTTTAGTCAGGCTATGATTTATTTGAAGTATGATCTGAAGGTCACAGGTTTTCGTTTGCCTACTAAGTACCTACCTAGACAACTTCGGGAAACGAATGGACCCTGCTCCAATGCTCCGTATGTGTGCTCTAATCTGGCCCCGTAGTTTCAATGATATGCAAGACCGTATCCTAGAATATGGCAATCCATTATTTGAGTTGACTAGAGGCAACTCCGCCCATCTTTACTTTCCTCAGTTCCGATGGCGTGTAAACAGTCCCGGAGGGCTCCGGGAAGGAAGCCCCACACACCGGCGCCGACTTGCATACACTTGCCATGCCGAGTCCGTGCACCCGGGCGGAACGCACTTGTCCCCACAGCTAGAGAGCCAAAAAAATCTGACAGGGGTCTTTGTCGGCCAATGGGCGAACCCTTAATCCGTCGCAATCGCGCATCGCCAAAATTTCGGGTCCCTATCAAGCTATCCATTGCACCACCCAGCCCAACCCGCAGCCTCTCACCAAGGCGTATCCACGACACCAACCAGCCGACGAAAGCAACAAGCGAAACACGAGAAGGGGCCAATTGACCCAAAACCAAGTCCAGCCTCAGCGCAAACCCCGACCACACACCCACGAATCCCCCCCGAGCTCGGGCAATAGAGCCGACAACCAAAGCCCGCCCATCATGAGACCCTCACCCGTCCTCCAGGTGCTCAAGTACAGGCACCTGAAGCTGACGACCAAGGACGTCAACAAGGGCTTCTACAAGGGAAACCGGACGGGCGCCATGGGTCGCCACACAAAGTACGGAGGCTACGTGATTGAGTGGCACAAGGTGCGGACGTACGTCGTGCCGGAGGGCTTGAAGGATTTCAAGGTAAGGAGACAGTTGCGCGCGGAACGCGAAAGGGGAAGGAGGAGGATGCCGGCCGGTCGAGTCGTTGAATGCTGACGTGTTGTGTGTATGTAGCTCACGCCGTTCGTCTCCGAGGCTGTGCGGCCCCTGAGGGGATCGTACCCCACGAAAGAAGGTCCCCGCGACCCCAAGCTCTACCTGGAGAACTGGAAGCAGGTGAACGGTGTCGATTAAAGTGGAGATGGAGAGAGAATCCGCATGGCTGGAAGACGAGAGAGAGAGAGAGAGAGAGAGAGAGAGAAAATAGGAAAGGGAGACGAGAAGCACAGCATTGAGATCTGCTGCTGCTCGCTGACGGGAGACGGTATCAGGAGAGACAACCTGAGAAACAACCCCCAGAAACAAGGGGCAGGATCACGTTCTCACCCCAAAACAAGAGTGTACAAGAGCTGTATATACCCTCGACGCTGTAACAATATGTAAAGAAAGACAAAATCACATCCAACAAGCATTTTGCGCATATCCATGCGGAGGATGAGAGTTCGCGAAGACCCCAAGTGCGAGAGTACAAGCTTCCCCAAGGGAAACCATGACGATCAAGATTTGTATACACACTACGATTCAAGCTTCTTATATACTTATTCTCATTCATACAGAAAACATGTCACGCAGTCTGCTCCGACCCCCCGTGACCCACAACCTCCTTCCCCTTCCCCTTCGCAAGAGGCAGATCCTCCGCCGCCGTGACAAAGGTATCCAACGGCGGCCTCATACCCTCATTCTCCGTTGGGACTTGGGTACTCGCCTGGGAAGCAGAAATCCCGTTCCCATTGAGCTCCACCCCGTCAGTCGTCGCGCCTGTATCCGACCGGTTCAGCTGCGGCATGGGACTGATGGGCCGACTATCGGCGCCCGACATGAGCGTCACCATGCTCGCCGTCTCGGCGTCCTTCTTGCCGAGACTAAACGGCAGCGCGATGCCGTCGAGGAAGGGCCGCTTGCCCGCGACGCCGGTGCCGCCGGGGACGAAATCTGGGCTCAGGTGATTCCCGTCGGCGGCGGCGGCGGCGGCGGCCTGCTCGTTGTGCTTCTCTTGTTCTTTCCTCTTCTCGATGAGGGCTGCTACCGGTGTCGTTGTCGTCTCGTCAACTGCCGTGGTCTGAGACTCTTCCATCTGCGTGGAAGCCGGCGTCTCCTCCTCTTCCGTCTGATGCTCGTCCCGGACGAACCGCCGCTTGCTGCCCGTAGGCGAGCCGAGGGGCGCCGGATCCTGGTGCTCGATATCCTCAAAGGATCTGGCTCCCTCACCGCCCCTGGGCGAAGTCTGCTGAGACTCCCGAGTTTGCTGCGACGTCCTGCCGGCGGCGGTGGCGGCGACAGCATCAGAGTCGGCCTTCTTTTCTCTTTTTGTCGTCGTCTCGTCGTGCTTGGAGCCCCAAAGCGACCACAGCGCCAGACCGATACTCTTGGTCTTCTTCCTGTCCACCAACTCATCCGACGCCTTTCGTCGACCGGCCAGCGCCGTGGGCGGCGGCTGCTCGCCGTCGCCGAAATCCATGTACCCGTCCGCCAGGTCCCTGATGATGCTCTTGTGGACCTTGGCTTTCGCGCTCGAGAACTTCTTGTCAAAGGTGGCTTTGGTGTCGAGCCACCGCCTCACGGGCGTGGGCCTGACGACGCCGACCTCCTCCGACTTCATGACGCAGCCGTCCAGCTCGGATTCGGGAGGTAGGTCGGAGACGACGCCGCGCGTGGAGATCTTTTGGCGGATCATGTGCTTCTTGAAGGGCGGCAACGGCATGCCCGCCTTGCCCACCAGCTCGGGAGGTTGCCCCCCGCCGGCGTTGTTCTCCGTCTGGTTCTCCTCTTTATCCGAATCCGAGGTGGAGCTAGAAGAAATCGTGGAAATGTCGTCGTCGTCCAGGATCTCAATCTCCGTCTGCTGCGCCCTCGCCAGCGCCCAGGCGCCAAACTGCGCGACGGCGCGGTACATGTGCTTGGCCGGGCGTGTGAAGCTGAGTGTCGGGGCGACGTGGCAGAGGTCGTCCCAGACCTGGAGCTGCACGTCCGTCGGCTTGTACTGCTTCAGCTGCGCCAGCCCGGCGTCGTCGAGACCCGGCGGCGGGTACTTGGCGGGGTTCGCGCACTTGTGTGCCACGTAGATTTGCTCGTCGCGGAGGACCTCGCCGCCGCCCACCATGATGAGGAGCGGCGGGAGGCCGCCCAGCGTCGGTTGCATTACCGGGCTGACCATGGGATGTGAGAGTAAGGCATTGGTCGTGTACATCTGGAAAGGGCTATTAGTATATCATGTGAGTGGAGGAAGCTCCCCTAAGAAGACTTACTTGGATTTGGTCCTTGACTGTGGTAAGCTTCCCGTCAATGGTGACGGAAAGCTGCAAGGCCGTCTTTGTGGGGTCCGCGTTACCAGAAGAGTCAGAGGTGCCCCCCAGCGTCTCGTTGCCGTCGCCCAGCGCGATGGGCGCTGCCTGCTTCTTCTCGAGCGTGTTAAGCTTCGTGGCGCTCTTCTCCTTGCCCGCTCGCGCCTTAATGGCCTGCTCCCTCATCATCTCCATATCATCCTCGTTCGGCGGCGGCCAGGCCCGGGATGGTTTGTGGTGGAAGCCGGACGAGGGGATGTAGTCCATCTGGTTATCTCCCGAGACGCTGGGGAACGAGTGCGTGAGGTCGACCCAGGGGCTGATGAGGACGGCGCCCGCGGGTAGGGGAATACCGCGGTCTCGCAGGATACACAGCATCGAGAGCACCATACCGCCGCCGGCCGAGTCGCCGGCCAGGACGATCGTGGTCGGGTCCTGGACGGTGAGGAGATAGAGGTAAGCGGCGAGACAGTCCTGGAGGCCGCAAGGGAAAGGGAACTGCGGCGCGAGGCGGTACCGGGGTGCGAGGACCCTCGCCTTCAGCTTGCGGGCGTGCCGCTGCATCTGGTAGCGGTGCTCGTCGACGCTGCCGAAGAAGTAGGCGCCGCCGTGGACGTAGAGCATCACCCTCTTCGTCGCGCCGCCGTTCTTCTTGCGCTCGTGGTAGTCGGCGCGCATCTCGATCCACTCGGCCTTGAGGGGGCTCTGCGGCTTCCGCCACTTCCACCATTTGCAACCCCCTACGGCCCGTACGCCTCGAGGTCCCAGTTGGGCCTCGATCAGGCCGGCCGACTTCTCGAGCTCGGTCTCGGGGATCTCGACGTCTTCGACTTTGACCCATTGCGGGTGCGGGACCCATTGGGCTGTAAAGGCTTGGAGCTCCTCGACGGTGTGGTGGGAAGCGAACTCGAGGAAGGATCGGACGAGGTGCAGGCCTTCATCGTAGGATAAGTGGGAGTTTGGTCCTTGCTTTGAAGTTTTTCGATTGAGGTACTGTTGTGAGATTGAGAATTAGTCAATTGCACTTGCGTACATGGTCATTGAGCTGTAGCTATCGCGGTAGGGGTTGCATTGCGTATTCTGTGACGAAATAAATCCGGGGGAAGCTGGATTCAGGGACGACCTGACGCGGTTTGTGTATAGGGGATTCGGGAGAGACTCACATGTGAAAAGAGGGTGGATACGACGGTTGGCGTGACCGCCAATGACACCGACGTGGTGTTCAGCTTCAACGGATTCATGATTTCTCTCTCGTGTTCAGTCCAGTCCAGTCCAGCCCGGCCCTCAGATCAGAAACTGAAGGGAGCAACAGAATCCTCCTCCCCTTGGACGGTGGCGGGGGATCTCTTGGCTTTTGAAAGCTTCCTCCCCCTTTGACGAGTTGGTGGACGATCCTATATTGTTTGTGGAACAGACCATCATGTTCGCTTCGAGGGAGCCCGGAGCGGGAAGCACAGAAGAAGGCCGCAACCCTGAAACTTCCACACCCCAGATGGCTAGAGCTCACTACCGGAATAGGGGACCGATGACATCACTTGCAGCGCCCAAGTGGATGAGCCAATGTCCGCCGGGCCTGGTCAACCGGCCGTAGCTTCATCGCCAGCTGCCGGGATCATGAATAATGAGCTGGTCTGGCTGCCAAGATACGCAGTGCTCTCTCAAGATGAGTTATTGAGATTTAAGCGACATTTCAGACGTAGGCAATTGAGCAGCTTGCACGTGAGGTCAGGTAACGAGGAAGCTCAGGTTCCTTTTCAGGTGTTTTCAGCTGCCCTGCCCGTACGGGGCCCTGGCACACGCCTGGCACACGCCTGGCTAGACCCGAAAGCGGGACCGGGATGGGGTGGGTGGCCGTGGAAAACCCCACACAGCACAACCGACAGTGCAAATCGTCGCATGCACTATCCACCATACAGGGGAAGCGGGAAAAAAATTGTGATCTGGAAATTTGGCAACGAAAACTGTCACCGCACCCCAAGCCAGAATCTGCCCCTCCATAACTTTTGGATACCCCGCGAAATAGCAGCATCACCAAACAATGGCGACCATCGCCCCCATCACGGCAGGCAAGTTCACGATCTAAACACGCTGATGCCCAACATCTCTACAACATTGAAAATCCTAACACCCGAAAATGTAGAGGCCTGCCAGTCAACCTTTGAACAAGCCGTCGCCCTCTCCCTCCACATGTGGCCCGCCCTCACCCTCGCCGTCCAAAACCACTGGGGCGGCCCCGACTCCGCCGACAAACGAGACTGGTTCGCCGGCGCCGTCGCCGACATCTTCCCAACTTTCACAAAAATCACTGCCGCAGGCCAGGCAATGCCCGCCACGGCCGCCGCCGCCGCAGAGGAGCCCGACACGGGTTACGTCGAGACCATGCTGCTGCAGGTCATGCTCGACGAGTTCGAGGTCAACGTCGACGATGAGACGGGCTACGACGTCGCCGAACAGATTGTCAAGCTGCGCGCCGAGTGCGCCAAGGGAAACTTTGCCGCCGTCGACGAGCTGCGCACCAAGTGGGAGAGCCGCAAGGGCGCCAAGGTGGAGGGCTTGTATAAAAAGGTCGAGGCCGGCGACCAGGATACCGATTGGGAGGACGACGACAGCGAAGACGACGACGAGGATGATGTCGAGATGGACGATGCGCCTCAGCTTGTGCGTGCGCCAAAGGAGAAGCAGGAGCCCGAGGTCGACGAAGACGGTTTCACCACGGTCACCAAGAAGAAGAGATAAAGGATTTTGTCATATGAGCAAAAAAGAAAAGAAGCGAAGACAGAGAGAGAGAAGAAATACCCCCTCCACCACCGCGACTTTGGTTTCTCCAAAAAGCAAATGCTTCACAAAGGAGCCCCGCGTGGCTGATGTACAAATGTCCGCATAATTAAGAGCTTGCCATTCGAGCCAGAGAGAGAAAAAACAATCCGAAAAACCCATCCCAAATTCAACGCCAGTCAGCAAAATGTAGACGCTCATACTACTACTCCCAGTCATCGTCACTATCGTCGGCCTTGCGGGAGTCCTTGGGGCTGTTGGGGGCTTGGCTGGGGACGCCAGAGGTGGCACCGACAACGTCGTAGCTGGTGTCACTGTCGGCCTGGGATTTTTCGTCGTTGGACTTGCGTGACTCGGCAGGCTTCAGGGTGGAGGAGGTTTGGGCGGGAGGCTGGATGGTAGTGGAAGACTCGGCTGATGGCGGGCGGGCTTGTGTCTTCTCAGTCTTGGGAGCAGCGCCAGCAGCAGGGGTGGGAGTGGCGGCAGCGGCGGTAGCAGGAGCAGGGGCAGTAGTTGTGGTGGCCTCATCATCGGAGTCATCATCCCAGCCGACTTCGTCCTCGGCAGAAGCAGCTGTATCTAGTTAGCAAACAGTTGGGCAATCTAAGATATCCTTCACTCACCCTTGAGCAAATCGCGTCTTCGGGTCTCGGCAGCCTCCAGACCATGTCTGAGGAAGTAGTATCTTTTCCAGAACTCAGCATAGGGAACCTGGTCGGGCACGAGCTTCTCCATCGTCGTTCGCAGTTCGGGGTACTTGTTCAAGTCGTCGCTAATCTCTGCCGTCTTCTTTTCCGCGTCAAACGTCTTGGCCCAGGTCGCGAATTCCTCCGTGGCAGGGTCCTTTGCGAAGCTCTCGGTGCTCGTGTGGATGACGTGCAACTGGGCGTCTTGCCTCGAGGTGTGGATGACCCGCTTGCCCTGCGCGTCCTTGCTCTCGAACATGACGGCGCCGCCCTGGCTGTTGGCGTCGGTAGGCGGCGCGATGCTGACGGCCTCCTTGAGGAAGTTGCTGATATTGGTGCCGAAGCGGAGCAGAGCCTCGTCGGCGGCGTCCTCGGCCTTTTGCAGGTCCTTGAGCCGCTTGGCTGCCTCGGAGCGAAGCCTGGTGAGGTAGTTCTCGGAGCTGCTCATGGCGTCGTCGGAAGCTGCCAAGTCTCTGGTCTTTGTGGGCGTCGTCTGGCTGTCGGTCTCCTTGCTCCTGTCTCCGGAAGACTCATCTTGCGTCGTCGTGTTGACGGTGAGGGATCTCGTTCGGTTGATTATGGAGCTGAAGCCCTTGGATGCGTCCTGACCGAGCTCCGTCACCTCCTTGGAGGCTTCCTTGTAGACTTCTTGTCCCTAGCATCACCGGGTTAGCCGGCTCATTCCTGGATTCCCTTGGAGCTCTTATATGGTGTATCGCCTCACCTGCTTCACGGCACTTCCCAAGAAGCCACCGATGCGCATGCCCCAAGGACTGGACGAGATGGCCTTGTACGCCTCCTGCAAGTCATCGTTCAAAGATGACTGCGGCTGGTCGGATTTGGTGTCCTTGGCGTCGCCATTCTTCTTATCGGCATCCTTGGGGAGCGAGTTCTCCTGGATGTGATCGTACGCCAGATCCATGGCAAGGGCGGCAGAATCCAAGCTCCTTAGAGTTGACGACGCTGGTGGTGTTTATTTGGGTGGCCTTTCGGGGGGAAAAGCCTATCGCGAGGCTAAAGCTGTGGTCTTTTCGTGTGGAGTGGAGTTTGAGGCGAAGTCGTGTGATGTGTAGACAGTTGAGAGCTGCTGTGGGCGGGCGAATGATGTCTGGCTTCTGACATGAGGCTGTTCTTTCCCTTCCGTTTCCCCCTGACGGGCGGGGTGGTGGACGGCTGCATGGTGGTCAATGCGGGGAGACAGCAGTACGTCCACGTGTGGATCCCCCGGCGCGGCCACTGCCGGAACCTCTTTCGTTTCTGTGGCCTTTTGCGGTCTTCCATTGCCTTTTGCACCGTGGAAAATGCGAGAATCGCTTGCATCAAGGCATTCCATAAAGCATCTCTCGTGTCTCACCCGTGGTGCCGCCGCACCCGGGAGCCAAGTACTTGCAGCGCGCAGCACGACCATACGCAGCTGGGTAACAATCAGCATATAAACGGTAGTTATGGAAACATTTCAAGGCGACCGTCAAGGTCATGGATAAGGCGGGACCTATGTTTCTGCACGAAGGGACCTGAAAGCGAACTTTTTTTTTTTGAGTTGTTGGTCCGCCCCTACCTTAACCCCCGCGCCGGGGACGGAACGACCACAGCGCCAGCGCCTCCCAACCGGGACGTTGCGGTCCCTTTTCCGGGTTGCTCACCATGGAGCATGGAGGGCATGCGTGGGCACGCAACGGAGACGGCTGCGGGGATGGAATCCGGTCCCGTTGGTCTTATCTGGCTCCGTGGCGACTTGCAGCGGCGAGTGAAATACCTTGGGACAATATTCGTCTGATCGAACACTCTGTGCCGCCTCTTTGAATGGCGTGCTCCCAAAAACCCATGTAGTAGTGGCAGTGACAATCTTCCATCGTATGAGGGATTGGCAGTGTGGCACGTTAGATACACGGCAGCTCTTTACATCCGTTCATTAGGCAAGAAGGTACGGCAGGCTCAAGTGATCCCTCGGCGATAGTGTGCAGTTTCGCCGCACCCGCCTGAGCCTCGCGCATCTCGCTCCTTCGTGCCCTCCACTCCGATGTAGTACCTAGGTGGAGGGGGGGGCCAAGCATATTCGCAAAGTCCCGAGACGCGCAGTGTGCAGTGTAAGCTTTTCGGGCGGAGTAGCGTCGGGTCTAGACGCCCTCTTAGGCTGTGGCGATTTATGCAAGGAAAAGAGATGTAAGCAGAACTGACCACTTCTGGTCCCTGGACCAACAGTTTTGCTAAGGACCGCACTGCGATACAACAATAGACAGATGTGGGAGGATGCGACGATGTGGGCCGTTTACAAGAGCTGTTGTCTCGTGCTTGTGCCGTAGGAGATGTGCGTTTCCTTTACGGATGCTTGTATGTAAATTCCTGTATCTCGTGATAGCAGGGCCGAAACGGTGGTATGGTTGCAGAGACGTGTTCGCAGTGTCATTTGTCATCCCAGCATTGACAGCAGTATTCGTTCTTCTACTTCGTGCAAGTTTTCCCCTTGCTACCCTTGGAGCGGCACGTCCCACGAGATGGGTTGCAAGACGATCTTTTGAATTATCAAATCTAGGCAGCCACTTGTTTGAGCATACGCCCGCTGCATGGGATCTTTTGCGTGAACGGCTAAACAAGGCCAAGACGGTCTCGCGGCGAGCAAAGAATAGAGTTCCAGCCAGTCATCCCCAGTTTCCAAGGGACGGTACCTAAGAAAAGCGTAAAGTACTCCGTAGTGTACCTTTCTTTAGGTGTAGCAGCCAAGCTGGGTCAGAGTAGGGGAAGCGTAAGCCTCGACATGGGCTTCGCCTGTTGCGCCGGAC